GTTGTTTTGATAAAATGATGATTGAGACTGTGGGCCATCTTGCTTTCGGCGCGCAGTCTCCATTGTTGTGAATTTGCTCTCTAAGAATTCAAAAAAATCCTTCAACTCGGGTAATTCTCTTTTGTTTTTCACTGAATCCATATAGTCGTTATATGTCTGAGTGTCTAATTTCAATGATAAAAGGTGCACAATGAGTGGGTCCCATGTGTGGATATCGACGCCTAGATTTTTAACAGCGTTCAGGCACTCATTGGCTGTGTCGTGAATCTTCTTGATATGAGTCACTGATTGTTGCTTGGAATTCGGTAGATCCAAAATTGTATTAATATGAGAGTTGAATATCAGTTTCTTGTTATTATACCGATTATTCAGGATCTCCCAGCAAGTGATATAGTTTTCTGTACTGATCGATAGATGCTGAATTAGACGCTCGGACTCGCCTCTCACTTTGCTCTTGAGAAACTGCATCTTCTGAGCATCTGACATAGAAGGGTTGTTGTGGATTGCTTCGCAAAATAGGTCTTTGAATGACACCCATGCTTGATAACTTCCATTGAACACTGGGACGTCTATCTTTGGGGTAAACTTTTCAATGTGTGAGATAGACCACATCTTGCTGTTTATGGCCTTTTTAACTTGATTATAAGTGCGCTCGTTAGTATTAAATGCTTTTTCATAAATAGTGTTTATACCACCTTCCAACTCGATGTCTAGTTCCCAGTGAGCTTGATCGACTGTTTTCCAGCGTGACTCTAAATTACGCAGTGCATCTTCAAGTTCCCACTTACTGTTGATGGAGTTTAGGTCAATGCTAGACACTGTCCTAGTAAAAGCACGAAAATTACTTGCTTGCTTCCTGAAGAGGTCGTCGGTTTTACTGTTAGTACCGTGATCTTGATTGTTGCGGTTCAAATTAGGAGTACGAAACCCGCTGCTACCGGCCCCCTCTTCACCATCTTCTTCGTATTCATCCGACGAGTGACTGCTTGAATCTTCTATCTCTTTCTGTTTTTTCTCCACTTCGTAGCTACTGATCAACAACTTCGTCGATAAAAAATATTGATGTACACTTGCATAAAATTCGGTGCTACAACACGGATCGGTTTTTGTTTCACTTGCTTGTAACTTGATATGATTTTGTTCAAATTCATCCCAAAGGGCACAAAGTGACTTCAAGCGCTTTGGAATGTACTTCGGCTTGCTTTTCCTTTCAGCGCCGTCCTTGCTGAAATTGATGTTGATTTTCTTGATTTGCGTATAAATTTCCTTTTGTCTGTTGATGAGAGACTCCATGATAAGGGTTTTTTGATTATTCGCTTATTTGATATTGATAAATTGATTGATATTGATGTCTGCTTGATGATATGCTTGCCGAAGAATGATAATTGATTTGCTAGTTGATATATGATAATAACGATGATAAGTATGCTGGTTTCCTCTCTGCTTAGCGCCACGTGGCCAGTGTACAGCTATTGCGCCGTCTCAATCTGCCCGGTGAGACCCGCTTGTGGGAGGCCGGACAGACCGATCGCACTGTACACTAAAACACGCGACACTTTAACTTGACAACACGACTTCGAATGAACCAAAAACGGTCCAAAGGTCGCTCGAAGGACCAAAAAGATGTACGGTGTATCCGTACTCTTATAAATGATAGTATGATAACTGTTTAGTGTGTTTATTAGTATTGATTTACAACTAATAATGACACGTTTGATGGGTGTGAAATGAGTACACTGCGCGATGGCTGATTGTGAACTGATTTAAATTACAATATGGCGTAAAGTGCTGATGGAGCGCATTGTCGGTCGTAGACCGTACAGTGCTAGACTATGCATTGTGGAAAACGGTGGACATTTTGAACACTTGCTCCGTATCACGGAAGTGTAAATATACTGTAAATAACTAAAAAATCAATCATTGTAAATAATTTGATTTCATATTTTTAACTACGCCAAAAACCTCAATTCTTATTAAATGATAACTTAATTATCTTTTTTAGTACGTAAAACATTTTGATGTTAGTTCATAAGTAAAAAATAATTAACATAAGATAAAACGATATTATTCGATAACAGCTTATTTTATTGAAAGAACAGGTGAAAGAACAATAATTTTAATATTTGAAGTCGATTAAAAATTAAAGTCTTAATTTTTTTTAAGTAATCAACATTTTTTAAAACAAGTAAAATAAAGGACTTAACTATCTTATTCTAGTTTTTTTTACTATATTAATATTACTGCTACTTGTAATCAACAAATACTTGAACAAAAACTATTATATTTAGAATTAGAATTATAAAGATATACGGCGTCTATCTAGATATATGTCTGTGGTAGGTACCAACGATACAAAACGCCATAGTTCTAAGAAGTCCAGTCACAGATATCTGTGAGTCCAGTCTACTCTTAATTACATTTCATAAGTTGGTGCCTGCCTACCTTAGAACACGCATGCATGTGTAAACAGCCAGCTCGTGATTCGTGTCGCATATCGCGACTCGCACTTGTCGCGCGAAGTTAGGCACGAGTAGCGACACGAAGTTAGATACGAGTGGCGACGGCGACGCGAAGGTATACTTGTTCGCAGTTTTGCTACTATAGCCAGTTTTTAGCTATATAGATTTATCGACATTTACGAAATTGTTAGCTACAAAAATATTTGGTAGCTAAATCTTTTAGCTCTTATAATAAGAAAATCAAAATACTGGAAAAAAAAAAGGAAAATAAAGCTTAACCGTCAATATCAGAAGACGATAACTATGTGATTGATAATGATGATAATTATTTTTTAGATTTATAATTTGTAAAATTAAGAAAAATAATTTTATTTTTGTTTATACACTTTACCCAGAGAATTAATTTCTTGGACAAGGTGGCGATGCGAGTCGCGACACGAATAACGAGCTGACCGTTTATACATGCATGTTCGAGTATCGCATCGCCACTCGCACGAATGTGAGAATGCGGCATAAGATACATTTGACATTGAAAACATAAAAAAACGTTATTGTCTTTGTATAACTACTGCGTGCCATGGTGAGACAGAAGAGATAGCGTTACATTGGTCTGTGCCAAACACGGGAAGCGAAAATATCTAAGGTCATCTTAAATGCCAACTGCGTCCATTTCGCATGAGGGCAAGGACTTGCGTATGATTTTTAGTGTTCACTGCAATACTCAAGTCCTGACCTGAGCATTGAGTAGAGTTCTAGAATATGACCCTTAGGGTATTCTAGAAGTAGAGTTCTTGTACTGGAAACACAAGCACTGGAAATACGACTCTAATGGCAGGGACTTGAGTATGATTTCGAGTGCTTTAAACCATATTCAAATCCTGACTTGCGCTTGCGTATGATTCAAAGCAGTATAAATCATACTCAAGTCTTTGCCATTAGGGTCGTATTTCCAGTGCTTGAAATCATACTCAAGTCTGCTCAAATCCTGACTTGAGCGTTGAGTACAGTTCTGGAATACGACCCTAAGAGAGAGACGCATTACTACTTTGAAGCCTCTCATCGGCTCGTTTTATTCCCTTAGTGCGCGGTCCAGTCCTACTCTCGATCTCCTTCTGACATCCGTCCGAAACAATTACTGTCAAATAAGTAATATTCTACAAAATTAAAAGACAAGTATCAAGTATGAAGCTTCGTTAGCATCACGCGTCTTTTCATTTGGTCAAGTATTGCTTATTTGGCAGTAATTGTTTCGGACGGAGATCGAGAGTAGACTCCAGTTTAATATACAAGTTCGTGATTGGTGACGACTTGAACTCTTTGGCCCACGCACAGACTAGAATACTTTGTGAACAGGCTTGCCAATTTCTGGGGAATTCCTCAAATTACGGGGAATTTCAACTAGATTGGGGATTTTGTGGGGATTGGTGATATGTGGGGATTCTAACATTTTATGATTTTGTTTAGTCTATCGATTGCTTGCATCTATCGATGCATCGCTAGTTTCATCGTTATTGTTAGAAACACTGATGAACTATATCGATGTGTTTTTCAACATCACACATCCCTCGCATTATTAACAAGCAGTTTAAATAGAATTATTATCAGACCGTCTTAGTTCTGAATTGTAAAATGGAAAATATTTAAGTGCATATCAGAAAAGTCATTACTTATAAAACTATGTTCATTATTCAAATAACTTGCACATCTAAAACATATTTCACTACAAATGGAACAACTGTCTAACAAAACTAGTATCAAAAATAATTTAAAAACATGTATCAAAACTAGACCTCTGCTTATTTCTCAGTGTATTTAAAAAAATATGGTTTACATAACAAAAATATATTTTTGTTTTGTAAACCATTTTTGTTAATCTTGTTGTTTTGGACAAATTGTACAATTAGACCATTATGTCATATAAAATGATGTTTCATTCCGATAGACTGATGACCTTTCCCTTGGCCCGTCTCCGGTATGAGGAAAAACGAAATCAGCTATTGATAAACAAAGTCCAGCAGTTGGTATTTCCACACCACAACTTACCACTTGGCACTCGTCAACTTTAAATGTTAAATATAGATTGAGGCTTAATTTACTCATTGATTTTTTCTAACATTAACAATAGGGTCACCAAATGCGCAACAAAATAATTAAGTTACTTAATTTTATAAGGCAAAGAAAAATGTTTTTTTTTTTCAATGTTTGATTAATGTTGAATCTCATTAAAATAAATAAACGATTTTAGGTCATCTAATTTTGGAATTTGCTTTACATTTTACATTCTGTTTACATTCACAGCAAACGTAATAGATGGTTACATTATGAGTTTCTTAATTCTTTATTATAATTATTTTTAAGCGATGTTTTTGTAATAAGTAATGATAACTCGAGATGTGGGGAATATGACATTTGTTCTCCCCAAATTTGGGAATTATAACCGTGATTTTGAATAATTGGCATTGGCAACATTATTTGTGTACGTCATGTTTACTTTGAGTGATAAAGTTTTACACATTGTTTTATGAATCGTGAACACTGAAAATGAGTGAAGTTTTAATTTTGTACGACGGTTACTCAAAAATGGATGGTGACGATACTATGATAGCTAATTGTACATGTACATTGATTAAGGGCTCTCAAAACATTATCGTGGATACAATGACTGCTTGGGACTCTCTTAAAATTTTAAGCGGTTATTAAACCTTATATGTACATAAATTAACGATAAAAAATCAATACCTACTGCATCATTATTCTATTATATATCCCTTCCCTGTCTATGTAACAAATCCCAACCTATTAGGTATTATTTAAAGTGCCTATTTCATCTTTCTAAAGTTTTGTATAGATATTAAAAAAATGAAAGGAAACATTATTGTCGATGCCGAAATTTATTCTATCACTTAAAATTTTTGTTACAACCTTGTTCTCAACTGTCATCACTCTTGCTTGCAGCTCTACAAAAACATTGTCTAGTGCCAGATCAAATCGACTATGTGATTTCAACTCATGGCCACTCTGACCATATAGGGAACAACAACTTATTCCTACAAGCTAAGCATATTGTTGGATTCAGTGTTAATTTCAAAGACAAATATTTACTACATCCCTTTGATAAAGGTAGGTATTGTTTTATTTCAGTACAGTATTGTATTTAAAAAAAAATTAAAATTGGTAAGATTTTATGTTGGTATTTTCAATACAATTTGCTCTTACAGGTGAAAACTATGTGATAAATGAAAGTGTTAAAATAATACCTACACCAGGACATACTTTATCTGATGTGACTGTGCTAGTGAAAGCTGTACAAGGGGAAGTTATAGCCATTAGTGGTAAAATATTATTGATTTGAAAATTATAATATAAACCATTGACTTACAAATAAATGGACGACGGGTTTGATACAAAAACCACGAAAAAAATGTCCCAAGTCAACCTATTTAAACATAGTGACGTGTAAAGGAATATGAAAAAGCTAAAATGTTGAATTTAAATTGTAATGTCATCACAGTACTGTCTAATTTTGCTTGCTTCTCTGTCAGTCGAACAAACGAAGACTAAAGCGTGAATGACGCTCTGTATACGATTTTAACACCCTATATGGTCAGACACTTTTTAGCGTGGACCCGACGTCCATATAATTGTAAGTCAATGATAAAAACTTACCTTTTATTGTTTTATCAAATAATCACATTTCAGCTTGTAAACTAACATTTTTGACCTTTCTTATCGCAAAAGCCATAGAGTGCCATGCAGAGGTTCTGGGTTCGATTCCAGGGCCATGAGGAAATATGTGTATACACTTGTTTCTCTCGTGAGTTTGGGTGTACTTGGTACTTGGTGCAACAGGTTGGTATCCATTTTCCTGGTTTCAGTATAAATATGACTTTTACCTCTCGCCTGCTGTGGGGCACATACATGAATGCTAGACAGATGTTGACCAGGTGCTGGACCAGTGTGTCCCTGACCCATTGTAGGAGTGCAGGGAATACTCCATCTTGGCCCATAGCTTTGTAAGGTTCAAAGGTGTTTACTGCCCATTTTGTCTTTTCGTATGTTACTACTTGTTCAGCATATCGCCCTTTATGGATCGATGTGATGTAGTTAATTTCTTCGCACCTGTCGTCTTGGACGAACCTACATCCTGTGAAATGTGCTTCCAGAAGGTTTCTTTCCGTTCCCACAGGGGAAGTTGTGTATGTGTTGTCTATTTTGCGTATTGAACCTAGCTCAGAATTTCGAGTTGCCTAGGATTTTCCTTATTCTGTTTGCTTATGCACAAGACGTGATGTTCCTGCAGTAGCCCCGCCATGACGCGGTGCTCCTGAAACTTATGCGCTTCTTGAGCTTCTTGCGCTGTATGAGTTCTTCTGGGAGGCTCACCACTGCGAAGGAGTGTTCACTATGCTGCTGTAGCTTGTGAACAACCCAGCGGTGTACCTCCCCACGGGTTTTGCCACTTGAGAATGAGGCCGATTCGACGCGCATCCTCCCAATGACCAGGGCTGAGTAGTCCGCAAACCACCCTCCGGGGAGCCCCCACACCATTTTTCAATGAGAGGGGCTCCCCGGATGGCTGACTGATGGTGCTAATGGCATCCTCTAGCCACTGGAAAGTGGCTAGAGGTAGACACCACAGTTTCAGGGACCCGTCACTTAGACAGTTTACCTCGAAACTGTGGGCCGACGTCCTCCTCGCTGCACTCCTCCGCTCCTTGCGCGAGGCGCTGACATAGGGCCACTTGAACCATGTCGGCATCGGGGCTCCGTACGAGTATGTAGCCAGTTTTGGTTGATGTGATCACCGCCATGAGTTCTGGCCTGGTGGCCTCGTTCGATGCTGGGCGGCCCTCTCAACCTTTTGCCGCTTGTGCTCGCGTCTAGGAGATATTGTCTCGTCAAGGCGGGCACGTTTGGCAATGGTCGAGGACCTCTGCATGCTCTCTGCCGGTTTGTTGTTAGAAGGGGGCCTTGCCTCTCCCTCCTTCGGCAGGGGGTTGTTTACGTTGCGACGCTCGCGTACTCTACGACGGCGTTTCATGTTTTTACGGGCAGGGCGTCCCCTGCTCCCAATGGGGGCTGGACTGGAGGTGGACGCTCGCCGTGATCACTTGTTCATTCCTTATGGATGGGTGCCGTGGTCTTGGATTTGGGCTGGCGTCTCACCAGGGTCTACCCTGCCTTAAGGGCCGTGTTTGAAAGGTTGTGAGCGGGGGCCGCAGAACCTAGGGTTTGGGCCACTACCGCTGGTGTGGTGCTAGCACCAACATCGGTGCTCGGCTGACCTTGGGGTTTCCCCTTTGGCCTACCACTCACCGTAGGGCGCTGTGTGTTTTTGTAGGGCACTTTTGGGTTTCCCCTCCGGTACTGCCGGTTTTGGGTTATTAAATTTTAACAAAGAACGATCATTGGTATCCATGTTATTGTTTTTTGAATTCATTCTTCTGACTTCCCACCCACCACGGAGCCCGCACCTTTGGGGATGTCCCATTCGGGACACCAGGATCGTCAGGAGAGTATAGGTGCAGGCGTTAGGAGCTCACTGCGCGACATCGGGGGCTCTAAATGTGCGGCTGGCTGACCTGAACAAAGTTAGCCAGGTGTTCCGCACATACTCACCCCGTCAGCATGGCCGAGTCCGTTCCCCCCGCACCTCGCCTGTGACCCTCAGACGGGACACAATGCCATTTCTCTGTGTTGGCTAATCACAGGGCTACCGTTTAGCAGGAAATCAGGGCCAAAGGGGGCGTATTGCTTGCCGGGGTCCCCACCCCGCTCGGGCTAAACCCCCCAGGATTCCTGCATCCCTGCGTACGGTGCTCTACTGCGTAGGCATTAACGCAGGAGGGTGTAAATTTAGACTGCCCACTACGTGGCATGGTCCACCCCTAGAAACGCATGGCCGGGCCGTGTTGATCGCTTCGCGCCCTCACTGACAATTTTCCGACTGAAGCCGGGAGTTGTCAGTGTTGGCCCCAGGGTGTACTGGCTACATCCTTGGGCGTTCTGTGACAACATGTTATCACAGACTGCTCAAGGACTTCGCACACATGGAGGTGGAACAACTAATACACCCCGAGTTTGGGTGTAATGTGTGGTTGTCTATGTGTATGTCCATGGCACCCGCGACACAGGGTTTTCTTAGTGCGGGGCTATGAGTGTTGTTTTGTTTTTATGATTAGTTGAACTTAAATCTCAAATGTCAAGGTTGATACGTCTAGCTTGACACTTAAGTCTTAAATCCAACTCCATGCCGCTTACGATAAGAACAGTCCAAAGTGTTAAGCTGTACCTGTCTTCATCTAAAAAGGCCAAAACTTATTTTGGTTGAATTTATTTTCAGGGGACTTGTTTGAAAAGTTTGAAGACATAGAACACCCAAATATATGGATTGATGCAGGCAGTGAAAATCCAGATTTACAAAGTAAAAATAGACTGAAGGTAGCTGAATTAGCTGACTGGATTGTACCAGGACATGGCAAGAAATTTCAAGTAAATAATAATGTTAGACTCTCTCTTAGAAAACAGATTAATGATAAGGGGTCTGTGTTTGGTAAATAAAAGATTTCTTCAGTCACATATTTATTTTAAAGGCTTCATACAGTTGAATATTAGATAATAACAATAACACAATGATAGTGTAATAACCCTGTAAGTTTACAGATCTTTTGTAGAAGTTACAGATGTCACAGAAAGTGTTTTATCAGTTTTGTATTTTAAAAATCAACTGACCAGTGATGCAAGTAATTATGCATTCTTTCAGAAGACATTAGTAATCGTAGAAAACAGTCAAAATCATAAAATGAGTCTATTTTATAAAAATAATGCATCCATTGTATTGAAAATTGACATCCTATAGAATTACTTGCCAGCTACAGATTTCAGTGTGTACAACAGCAGGTATGTTGTTTTCAATAGACATTATCTAGAATTGTACCAAAATTCATTTTTTTATATGAAGAATATTTACACTCTGTTTAAAAAATATACAATTTTTGTTTGACAGTAATAATAATTTATAATTTTATATAACTTTGGTTTTAGAAACCATGAAAAGGGTAGTAAGTAAGGGTAGTAATTGCGTATTTTTAAAAGAAGTAAAATCTTTATAATATTCCGATGAAATTAGTTTTTTAAATTAGTTTTAGACTTATATTAAACCCCAAACCAGGAACTTACAACGTAAATTCCACCATTTAATAGACAAAGGTATCAGTTTTGTTACGTGTTCTACAGTGTCTAAATAGCCAAATGTCTTTCCAACATTTTTATACGTAATTTTAAAAGTATCTGCAAAGAACGAAAGGTTACACTACCTTACTTTTTATAAAGAGGAACAGAACAAGAATTATTTTTAAAATCTATTGTCAGTTTCCTAAATATTACGGATTTCATTACTTTATTATTGAAGATGCGAGATAGAACAGTGAATATTAATTCATTTGTTGTTTACTAAGTTGGATTCCCATTCGATTTAGATTAACTGGTAACAGAATTGATTCCATTTTCATAAAACTAAATTACAAAATTGTTCTAAAGATACTGGACAGGCAAGAGGACTAGATCATTAACGATTCAGAATGATAACTGTATTTCATTTCCACTTTGATACAATCTGTACATGCCAGAGAAGTTCGAAAGGACAAAGTAAGTAGCAGAATTTACACAGGAAAACAATTACGTTTTCGTAACAATTACATACTATCGAAGTGTTTTATACAACTTCAAAATTTTATATTATATTTATATATTTTTTTATATATATATATAATAACTTACAAACGTTTTACAACAATCAGTATAATTAAGAGAAGCGCGCTGAAATGTTTAATTAGCAAAAACAACGTTTTTAACGTACTTTCCTGCGATTCTTTACAATTACCAATTTAAAAAGTTGAAGCCGGAAATATAAAGGTGCATACTTTATTTATTCAAATATATTCATTATGGCTTTTATTTATAGTTATGTCTTTACATTTATGATCTTTTACAAATGATTTCTGGTCAGACGTTCACAAATAGATTGTGAATAATCACATCAAAATGTGGCACTCTGGAATATCAAAACTACGTCATTAATCTAAATCTAGATATTACTTCCAGTGATACCTTCTACTGAGATCCGTGTGTCCACTAATCCAGGCCATATTTGCTGCGTGCAATTAAAAAAAAAAAACAATTTTCCTATTAATTTAATCCTCTATATTACACCTAGATCACAGCCGATGGTCACTAATGCTACAAAGCTTAGACATGCCCATATCCGTTCCGAGAATTAACTGATAGCTGCAACCAAAGGAAAAGGAAAACATAAAATAAATGCTTATTATATTTCTGCTACTCATCTATTTCCTCACACTGAAATAAATAAATAAACATTAAAGCTCCACGAGTTTCACTGGCATACAACTAAATGCGTTCATTTATTGTGTTTCTACGCATGGTCGTACTTGTAAATGTACAAACAGTAAATTTTTCATATTAGATTCAAACACTACGTATAAACCACGCAACGTTACAAATTTCAATATATTTATAGTTAGTATATACAACGGCGTATGGCCTACCTTACACGCAACTTTTGGTAAAACGCAATGTTTAGTCAGTTTTAAGCGTGGTTTATGGTTAAATAAAAAACACAATTAAATAAAGATAAGTACCTGTGGATCGATACTAGTAGGCACTGCATTTTCATCGATGCATAGGTCGGAATCGGAATCTGCCCTGCGTAAAGTGCTGTCCTGTAAATGCAAAGGAAAAATTTAATTTGATTTCGTTACCACTTCCATTAAAGAACATTAAAAAGCAAAGTACGTACAATATAAACTGGTACAATCTGAAACGATGTAATGCGACAATGTGTTAAATAATGCATAAAATTGTTTTACCCTGGCTGTTATTAAACTTTAACCCTTGAGCAGAGGCGGCTCGTCCTAAGGAGCGCTGGTGCAGTGAACTCCCACTCCTATCCAACCCACCAAAATAAATTTATTAATTATGCTTTCATATTATATTAGTAACCGCAGTATTTTTTTTTATTAATGAACGACAGACATACAATTAGATTTTTAACTTTCTCTTTAATATAGTATAGCATACTGACCCTTGAGTGGAGCGCTTCGCGATGCGCTCCTATGAACCGACATTGTTTACAAAATTCAGTTCTGAATTCTATGAGTGCGAAAGAGAAATTTCTAAATGGCGCGACACGTGAAACAAAAGATTAGTATGAGGAAATTTAAGCAAGATTTGAGCGGCGCTCCGCGCAAATAAGCAAAACCGTATTTTTTTGGCGCGCATTTTATGTGTTGTAAAATTTCTTATTATTCAATCGTTGTTAAGAAGCGTAGTGTTGTTTAGTGGCATTGTTTAAAATGGAGAACTATAATGTGACTTTCATTTTTTATTTAAAATATGTATAGGTAAGTGAACTCCTACTGGAATCCCCCACGAGCCGCCTCTGCCCTTGAGGCAGAGTCTTACTTCTAATTATCTATAACCCTGAGATGAAATCGAAGTCCCAAAATGTAAACAAACAGCTGTCACTGTCAAAGTGACGTCTCATAGATCAGAAACCTTTTTTTCCGGGTCTTTTATCAACAAGTTCTATTCTTCATATTACGACTAATAATTATAATGGTAAAAATACACTTGGGTTAAATAACTTACAGAACTTTTTTAAATCATTTTATGTCATAGGCAATGAAACAATTTTTCCGGATTTAAATCGCGTATATTTGTTTTTTCAAACAAATCGACGTTTCAGGCCCTTTACAGGTCCCATGGTCACCGTGACCTCATCATTTCATGTCCTCATTATATGTCCTAGAATATTTTCAATTGAGAAATAATGATTTGAAGAAATGAGAAGGGCCCATCAAATTACCCATTATTATTAGGCATGGCACAAAAAATTAACTCAAGTTTTTCTTTTAGATTAATCGTAAACTCTATAATAGTTTTGTTTTAGATATCAGTAGCTATCATTTCAATTCTTTGCTTTAAGCCTTTAGTTTTTACTCAGGCGAAAAAAGTTAAATGCTTAATATATTTTTATTTATAAACCAAAAGCCTATCAGTTTTTTAAACTAGTTCAAAAGGAAGGAAGTATTAAGCTTGAATCAACACGTCGCTTATACAGCAAAGAGCACATTCGATAACTATAAGCGTCAGAAACCGAATGGACAAAATTGCGCCGTTGCAGATCGGTCCAGTGGTGATGCAAACTGATAGTTGTACATCGTTATCGATCAAAAAATGATTTTTTTTTTTTATTATATTAATTGTAATCTAACACTATTTAATACGTAGTATTTTTATTACTCTCGATAAAAAATATTATTTTTAGTAAAATGTTAAAATAATAATATTAAAGCAATAAATTATTATTAACACTGCTATGCATAAAAGTATTTGTATACCTAAAAGAAGTAACCTCAAAAGTTTGTGGAATTACATCTATTTGTCAAGTTTTATTGGGATAGGTTACCGGACAGTACGCGAAAGGGATTCATCACCTAATTTGCCACCCTTAGAGGTGGAATATTTTCTTAAAATTTAAATGGGACGGCTACTGAGGTACCGAAACTGAGGTAAAAAAAGAATCATCAAAATCGGTTCACAAAGGCCGGAGTTATCGTGTAACATACATACAATGGAAAACATGCAGTCAAATTGAGAACCTCCTGCTTTTTTAAAAGTTGGTTGATAAAAAACCGAATGAGCAAAAAGGGCAGCCAAAGGTTACGTATCCCAGAAGTATGCCAATAGAATAAAAAAATCGCGGCAGAATCATTTTTTGAGCTTATTTCATTAAATAGATGAATAAAATGATTTGATGATATTCTGTTTGTACATGAACACAATTTAAGAACAATATAAAACTTCTTGCAATAATGTTTACATATTGACTTTCACTTTTCTTAAAATCTTTTTTTATAATGGCATCACTCTTGTTTACATTTTGGGCTTGGATTTAATCTAAGAGTATATTACATTATTAAATAAAAAAACTTAAGAGTATAGTGTATACGAATTGCGATTTTTAAAAATCTATTAGACGACAGACGTCGAGTCTCGAGTCAGCTTGGTCTGAATGATTTGACCTGAAGGTGCGTAAGGGCGTGAGCCGTGCATTTCAGTTACATTCAGCACACTGAGGACGGACGAAGCAGCTCTGAGAGTTTCTCTTGCAACATCAGTTATATTACACAAACATGTAACATTTGGGCCTTCCTCTGTTACGAACGTATTGATAGACTGATTGGACTAAAGGTAACTAAAAATATACGACTGACGTCTGTAGATGTATTCCGGTCAAAACTATCACGTTAAATGAAAAACGTTAAATGAACTCTAGTTACTGCTTACAATATAGCAACATTGTGTATTCGTTATTAGTCCATCTGCACCTATGCGACTTACTGTCATTGCAGACAAAAACGTACAAATTCAAGACTGTTACTTTTTCTTCATCGTAAATTTAAAATAAGTTACAGTATGCTGGAAAATACATACCCCTTGCGTATACTGGTGTGTAGTCGTCAATAATCGCGCGACGGGTGCCATGAAGCTAGGCAGAGTCTCTGTGAGAGGAGGCCGTGCATGGGTCAGCAGTGGCTTAAGGAGTCTGGAGTCTACTGCGCCCCACAGACGGGCTAGACGGGCCTTCTCCCCCGTGTTGCCGTCGCCACCGCCGCGGGGTGTACTCTGTTTTCAATTTAGTAATGTCAGCCGCTAATTTAAAAATATCAGCCGCTGTTTTCGTACTGATATATTTTTAATGGATTTTGAAATTTAGTAGATATTCTTTTACGAAGGGAAATGTTCAAACGAAATTGTTTTGAAATGTGTAGGAAATAGGTGTGAATTGTAAAATAATTTGGTAAATGTGTACTAAATGCAAAACAAGGTTTTCCATCTGTCGTACTATACGTGTATTGTGTACCTTGCAACTGTTGCAATTAAGAGCTAAAAGCTCAAAAAAAATTTAGAAAAAAAAAATAAATAACCCCAAGTGTATTTTACAAAGTGAACTCTCTCTATCTACTATATATATCTGACAGCTGAAATTTAAATTTATTTGAATAACAAAGAAAAAAATTGTGCAGATAGAAAATTTGTGAATATTTAAAAAATACATGTTTGTAAGGTGTCTGTTGGTTGCTATTTGATAATTGTGCAAGGCGAGCAATCTTTCATTTGAAGTTTTCATTTACATATGAGTTCATCACAAAAACAAGATATTTCCATTTATGGACTAGCTATTTATTAAAGTACGCCTATTACGTAATTGTAAAATATCAAGCATTTACACTTAACAAGTACGTTATATTGTTCGTGTGACATGCTCTTATGTAAAGAATTACATAAACTAAATAAACATTTTACATACTTCCATATAGTCAAGTTGCCAAGGCATAATCACTCCATTGTCGCCTTTGCCCCATTTAACTACCATGCGGCCACTCTAGATATTGAAGGAACCAAATAAACCAATCAAAATAGAATCACATGCAATATTAATAGGAAACATTAGTTGCCGACTGACTACTATAACAGAAAAAATAGAATTTGTTAAAAAAAAAAATGTGAACACTGAACAAAAACTTTTGGTGTGTCCAGTTTTAAAGTGGTGTAGATAATTTTGGTTGTATTAAATTTTATATTGTTGATTTGTAATTCAATTAAATATAATGGCGAAAAATTCAAATAAAGTTTAAAATTAGTGTATTTGTATCACAAAAAATCTACACCATTTTAGACAAATCAATGGTTTAGTAAGTTAATAATCGCATTATATGTACGTGCGTAATAAAATGCATTAATTGCAATTAAGGTATTTATTTTATACACTATTATGCTTTATAAAGGTGGTTATTATTTTAAACCATTAAGTTATTATCGACGATGTAGTAAAATTGCAATTAAAGCATTATTTGCAATTGTAATTAATATGTTATCGTCAAAATGCAAAGAAAATATCATGCGTGCAATATCTGATGAGCCTTACTGCTGCTCTGTCACAGCCGGTAGGTTGTGTTGGGTCCATATTTCGGAGGCCAAAGCCTATGTCCGCTGGCTGGATAAGAAATAACTTTTAATTGAGAAGAATTATTTTTTTACATTCATCTGAACTCCGATAGAAAAATTTGATTAATTTACATTACGAGTGAAGATATAATTTAGATTGGGTTTAAATAAAATTTCTGAAAATATGCGAGTCATATCCATGATCTCAGTTAGGAAGAATCTATTAGTAGTATGCAGTTTATCAATAATGACTAGTAGTTATACATAGACAGAGTATAGTAATTACAATTGTAATAATATTTGTATATGATACAGCATGACTCAAGTTAATCATATAGATTTTGTTTGAGCCACACTTTCAACTTTACCAGAGCGTAATACGTATACATGCGTGGACAACGAATTCACAACAAATCTATTGCAATTTCACACTGATATTGCCCCAATATGACGTGGATAATGGTGTGATATAAGCCTCCATGGTAAAGGTCAAAGATTTAGTGGACACGACATTTTTAAATCGTATCATCTTTTTCTTTATTTATTTAACACTGTGATTATGATTATTAACCCGTGAACACAGAATCTTTGCACAGTTCACACATAAAGCACTATTGATATAGCTCTAAGTACGCAAGTACGTACCGCTCCGCCAGAGTCCGTGGCCTGGTACAGCTGCCACAATAATGGTTTATTTATTCATAAAATCATCGACATGCGCGCCCCAATACATTGCTTGTGCTATGACGTCACTTACATACTGTACGAGTCTTGTCGAATTGTGACGACGTCAAATGAATGAATGGTATATAGCGTGAGTAAAATAAACAGATTCACCAACTATGTTCTGTTTGTTTGCAGTCTCATTTCGGGTACAAAACTTGATGAATTTTCGTTAATTCAGTGAAAGCATTAATTCGAGACCTATTATAGATCAGAAGCGTGTGACTCAAAAAACAAAAAATAGGAAAGCAGAAACATACATTTTAGTAATATTAGGGAGCTTTTTGACAGAAACATAATGAACCAAAAATCAACTTATAAGTTGTTGTACACACAAATGTTAAGAGCGAAACTTAAAATATAAAATAAAAAATTACATACGTAGTAATCTTCGATCAACTAAAAGGATATTATAAAATGGATAGTTTAGCTTTGAATTTTAGCTCTAATTAAATTAATTTAGACGTAAAACAGATTTTGCGCGAAAGCTAACTTCAGTGCTTCAGACTAAATATAGAAAGAGACTAAAAGATTGATATAAATATTTTGTCAATACTTACACTTCGAACATCTCGATACGGCAACGTTTCATTCTCATCATTTTGTCCTTGTCTAGAATAAAATAATTTACTTATTATAACAGAAACATCGGCACATGGAACAGACGAGAAAATAGGCTACTATGTATGTACAGTCACAAATAATAATATGTATACCTATATTGAAATAGTTTTCTCAGGAGACGTTTATCGAAGTTATATAATACTATGATTATATATATATACATATTTGCCAACATGAACACGGATTTAGTGATTTAATTTTATATTTATAACGAAAATAGATTTATATTTCAATATATAAATTAGTTCATATGTTTACAATATGATTTTATGGAAGAAAATATATAAATGCTATAAAAATGGCACTAAATGAAGCTATATGGAGTAGAAAAAGAGTTTTCCATAAGGAGTAGTGATAGGAGGATAGAATAGGAGGTCTACGTAAAGCCGATTATTCAATACCCAACAATTGTTGCGCGTCACCTGGCAACACCCCGTAATGTTGATGCGGATTGGAATATGGCATAAAAAGTTAAGTTGTTAAATAAAATTTGATATTACACAACATGACGCGCATCATAAAGGCAACAATGTTGCTTAGCATGTAATTAATTGTTGTCTAATAAAAACCTATAAGAGTACTGTTAATAAAAAATAATGGACGTACCCCGTAGGTATACGCAAATAAGCCAACGCATGCGTAGCAGCTCCGCCTTGCAGTATGACAGTGGCGATGACAATAAGAGAAGTCGTTGTCAGCATAGCCTGTCGCGCCTCAGACACCGTATTGCGTATTGCTAGCGCGAAAGACATCGCACCTCGAAGACCTGAGCGAGATAATATTCGGGATAAAAAATATAACAGTAATTTAAGCAAAACAATTTTTCCATGCTACTATTGTAATACCGGCGAAATTTCTCTTACCCGCAAAGAACAGCATGTGTTGAAAATTCATTGGTATCGGTGGTTTCCTTCCGAGATTTAAGAGGAACGATAATGGATAGATGTTCACCGCTCGACCAAGGGTAGATGTTATCTGTTTTAGTGGCTAAGGAACGTTTACATTGAACTTTAAAAAGGGATGTACGATTCTATGTTGGAAAGTCGAAATTTAATTTTAGTCAAAAGTAAAAGTTTAGCCCCGGATTGGTTTAGCGCAGGTTTAATAGTATGAGAAAGTAATGAAGCATCTTCTTTCTTCTCTTATAACTGATTTGTACCACTTTTCAGCTTATTATACTATCGAAACATTTGGATAACAACTTACAATTGTTTAAAGATGGTTTGCATTGTTGTACGAAATAATTAGAATTATCTTTGGCATTTTTTTATAATACCAAGAAACGAGACGCCTGGTGGTAAGCGACATGCCTGTCCATGGCCCTTGCAATGCCACTCATAGCTTTAAAATGCAGACCTGAGGGGCACTGCCACCGAGACATAAGTTGACAAGTCGCATGTGCCTGTAATTTCACACCTAATGCTCACATTAGGGTAATTTTCAGGTTAGTGTTCTCTACCCAATTTCGGTGGCAATATTAAGTAATACTGCACGATAATTTTCTAGAAAATTTAAATAATAAAAATTGCCGCCAAAATTAGGTACAGAAAACTAACCTGAAAATTACCCATTACTGTTTAGCGGCAGAAATAAGTAAGGTGGCGTTCGTCCCTGAACGAACATGTTCACAAAAAGCTCTACTGCTACTAAAAAGAAACAATGCTTTAAAAGGATACAAATCCAGCTATAATAAACCAAGGGTCGAAATGATGTTTCGGGAACGTGAACATGGAGACCCCGATGTAGGTGAATATGAAATTCTCAGCCAAAAAGTTGAGCAGTTCAAATAGCTGTTTGGTCCGGTTCCTAGAGTCGGATGATAGATTGTTGTATGTGTAGTGCGCTTGGCATATACCGCAGAATAGCACCGCAACCACGCCTGAAATAAGATTCCTCCATTTTAAGCTCTGCCGCATTTAAAAAAAAAAACAATAACTATTAATTTGTTTATGGAAATTAAAATTATTTTATTAATATTTACTTGATTGAACATTATGATGTTTTCCCTTCTGTACAATTGGTCTACTTTCCCGATCGGTCCACTGTCACTATTCGTCTACTTTCCTGTTTGGTCTACTTTCCCATTTCATCTACTTTCCCAATCTGTCTACTTTCCCGATCGGTCTACTTTCCCGAGTCTCCTTTAATGATGCGTTTACTCAGATAATCTCAGTACAGAATATTAAAAAAACCGACCTCAAAAGTTCGTGGAATTACATCTATTTGCTAAGTTGTATTGAAATCAGTTACCGGAAAGTCCGCGAACCCGGATTCATGCCCTACTTTACCACCTTTAGAGATGGAATATTTTTTTCATACTGAAATGCACCACTAGTGAGGTACCCTTTTTCCAACAAAAAAAGAATCGGTTCCCAAATGCCGTTGAGTTATCGCGTAACATATATAAAAAAAATTTAGTCGAATTGAGAACTTACTCCTTTTTTAAAGTCGGTTAAAAATAAACTGTCTACTTGATTTTGTTTTTTCAAATCATGGTTAACGTAAAGCGGCCATCATTATCAAAAATATAAAAAATGTACTCCATGACAATCTGCAATTTTGCAATTACAAATTACAAATGCCTTTGAAAATTTGTAAAATTTTATGAACTTACATAACATTTTATTAACTTGCAAGGTGGACTATTTGGACAAGTGGACCGATCCGGAAAGTAGACGAAATGAGAAATGGACGTATCGGATGAAGCAAGTGGACCAATCGGGAAAGTAGACGAACAGTGAAAGTGGACCGATCGAGAAAGTAGACGAAATGGGAAATAGACGAATCGGGAAAGTGGGCCGTTTGGACGAGTGGACCGATCGGGACAGTAGACGAATAGTGAAAGTGGACCGATCGGGAAAGTAGACCGATCGGGAAAGTAGACCGATTGTACCGAAGGGGATATTTTTATTACCATAATATTCATATATTTTTTGTGAAAATGTTCCATTATACTACAAAGGTTTAGGTAATTAAATGTAAACAAACCGTAATGAGGTATTTTGTGAGGCATTACCTGGTTACTTATTGTAAAATTATAATGAACTTTATGAAAATGGTTCTAAATATAATGAAGATATTTTCAGGCAACAGACAACTTTTCGAACTATCTATTTGCAATACTACCAAATACATAAATCTAAAAGGTAGATTTATATTTAAATAATGGTCTTTAATAGCACGTATCACAAGTTACCTACGAAAAACAACCTAAAAAACAGCCTTTAAAAACGCAGACAGCCAATAACATGCGACCAAAATAAAAGAGTACCACAGTAATACGACGTATGAAACTCATTACTAAGGGCTCATACACATAAATACGATACGACGCGACGTCGTATGCGTAAGAGCCCTTAGGGCTCGTAAGGGTACGACGTCGTCGTGTTATGTATGACGCGACGTCGTATTGTGTTTATGTGTAAGAGCTAGACCTGTATCGGTCGATCATTTTTGATAACCCAGGTCCACCATGACCCACACGTAGTGTGATCGGGTCAAATGAGTCGATCATATGTTCGTTATTTTAGCGGGTCACTCGTCCCTCATGATACTTCTTTGTATATTCGGTAAAATTTTAGAAAAAATTGTAACTACTTATCCTCTGTTTTTTCGCGTCATATTTCCCCACAGCAACATGGCTTTTTTCGTGGTCGTAGTGTTGTGAAAAATTTACAATATTTTTTCGGACTTTATTCTTAATGCCATGGATTCCGGTTATCAAGTTGATGCCGTGTACACAGACTTCTCTAGACCTTTGATAAAATAAATCACAATATGTTTCTACATAAACTCTTGAGACGGATATCTTCTGCGATGGCTAAAATCCTACGTAGAAAAACGTATTCAGCCTGTATCGCTTAAAGGTTTGTATTTCAGATTTTCATGATATTCCATCAGACATCCCGCAAGGTTCTCATCATTGTCCGTTGCTTTTCACATTTTACATTAATGATTACAATACCATTTTTGTTAATTCTCATCACTTGTTATATGACGACGATACAAAAATCTTTTAAATTATTACTGGAAACATTGATTCTTTTGATTTACAAAGGGACCTTGATGGATTTTCGACATACTGTGCTAACAACGAACTACACGTCAATCGTTCCAAATGTTATGTAATTACCTTTACAAGAGAAAAGCAACCCTTTCTATTTAATTATACTGCACCATGCTCAAACGCGTTAATCAAGTTAGAGATCTCGGTATTAACCTTTACACTAAATAAAATTTTAATTCTCATATCGTAAATGTTATCTCAAAATCCTTTAAACTGCTAGGTTTTATTTTATGTGTCTCTCAGCATTTCCGCAACGCTCTTACTTTTAAAACATTGTATTCATCCTTTTTGCGAAGTATCTTAGAATTTGGGAGTGTAGTTTGGAACCCTCGTTATAAAGTACATGTTGATGCTTTAGAAAAAGTGCAGAAAAACTTTATCAAGAACCTTTGTTATCGGACCGGTGCAGAGTACGTTAGCTATGACACTTCATGCAAAGAATTTAAAGTTCCATTCCTACACAATAGGAGAAACTTTATTGATTAGTTTTTCTTGTACAAATTATTAAATAATTACATCGATTCGCCGGATTTCTTCACAATGTTTTAGGGTAAGGGTAAGAGAAGTTTTATTTTAACAACAAATGTGTTGATAAAATTACTTAGTGTAAAATGTTTTAGTTTTTTATTCTTATTATTGCTTTTTAGTACTTGTACATAAATTATTAAGCAATATAAGCATAAATTATTTAAGTTCTTAATTTTTCTATTTTTTTTATATATTCTTATTTTTTTGCTTATGATGTTGTTTCGCTCGTTATCTTAATTCGGTTTTGATAATGGAACTGGTCTGTATGTGTATCAATCTTGGTTTATTACCTGTCTGTTGATGACTGTTTGTTTCCTTAAATAAATAAATAAAAAAGTCGAATATTGCGCGCATGACCCATGAAGCTCTAAAATAAAGAAGGTTATTTACAAGCTAGCAACCGGGTTATCGGGTCACAGGTGTTGTTCGAATCATTTTGATTCGATCGAACACGATCGACACACATCTAGTAAGAGTCCTAAATGTTGTATTTGACCGGTTAATTCGACGTCTTTAATTTGCTTGCAAGTGATAGCTGAAGTTTGTTCACTTTTGGTTAATTACTTAAATCTATAAACTATAGTTTGTTATTATTATTGATACAAAGATCGAAGAACACAAAGAAAAATTCCTTCGATCTGACTGGACTCGAATCAGTGCTGTTGCCACGCCGCACGCCACCGCTCTGAACTGAACAACTGAGCTACAGACCGATTCTTAATATAAATATATTTTATTAACAGTCAGATAATTATGATAGATGAGATTTTATTAATTGATAGATTTTATTGTGTATATTTTACGTTGGAAGATATACTCGTAAAGATGCATAATTTCATTAAAATTGATACGCACCTGTCAACTCGCAGACTTCTGCGATGAGAAAAGCAGCATACGACATAAGGACAAAAAGCGCAGACTCCAGTAACGGCCACTCACGCACGTGGGTGAACTTCGTCATGTGCAAAGGGTTAAAGATAATAATAAGCAAATATATATTTTTGAAATGTTCACAAGTCTACTAGAATAATAAGGCATTGTACTTCGACAATAGGTCAATTGAGAAGATTTGTGGTCGTATTTACGATAATACGATATTATGTGCAAAAACATAGTCAAGTACGTTTTTGCACATAATATCGTATTATGATATTGAATGGAACAGGGTTACACAATCTTTTATTGTCAAATTTTCAACTGCACAAATACTCGTTGACCACTTGAAGTGTAGATATATTTGTTTATGACAAGGGTCAGATTACAATGGTCTATCTCGTACAGAGACTACCTACTTTTGGGTACTTGTATCTACGTGAATTTATATGTATAAATAATTTATAGATTCAGGCGTTTCGATGAAAACGAAATTTATGTTAATAAAAATGTAAGTAAATTTAGGAAATGAAACTATTTTTCCGGATTTAAATCGCGTATATTTGTTTTTTCAAACAAACCGACGTTTCGGGCCCTTTACAGGTCCCATGGTCACTTACCTTACGTGAGAGGTGTTACAGACAAGATCGGACGAGTCCTCAGGCGTGCATCTATCAAGACCTATTTCAAGCCCCTGAGGAAGATTTCTCAGTTCCTGAGACCCGTGAAATGTAACATCCCCTTACAGGATGCAGGAGTTTACAAGCTTGACTGTGAGTGCGGTCTCTCTTATATTGGACAAAAAAGCGAAGTATTGGTACCCGCGTCAAAGAACATTTAGCTGATGTCAAACACCGTCGCGTAAACAAGTCTGCAGTCTGCGAGCATGTCATGAACCTACACATTCAATGAAGTTTGACAAACCCCAGGTCCTTGCAAAAGAAGTCCGTTATCTACCCAGGATGCTGCGAGAGGCCATTGAAATTAAAAAACATCCTAATTTCAACAGGGAAGATGGTTTCTCCGTACCACCAGTTTGGGATCCAGTATTTCCTCTAATGAAAAATCCCAAACAGACGTAAGACTGCAGTACTAATTAATTAATATGTTTTAGTTTATTCTAATTTATATTAATAATTAATAATAAATTGAACTTAATAAAAATTCATTCAATAAAATAATTTGTAAAACTTAATGTAGCGTAAATTGGAATGTTTTCTTTGTAAAATTAAAAAGAAGGTATTTAATTAGTAACTATAGTGAAAAAATAAGGTGGTTTGCATCAATATTAGACATAACTGGTTGAAGACTGTACCACCTCAGTCAACCGTGACCATGGGACCTGTAAAAGGCCCGAAACGTCGGTTTGTTTGAAAAAACAAATATACGCGATTTAAATCCGGAAAAATAGTTTCATTTCCTACGTGTAACAATCGCGAAAACCTAAGAACTCGTTAAGTAAATTTCTTTTCTCAAACATGCTCGGAAATGTTTCCATTACTTTCAAAAAACGAATACGGAAAGTTTGCCATTTATGGACCGTGCTACTTCTTAGAGGATGGAAATAGTCTAAGGACTTCTTCCAGTCAAGGTATGCAAAGTAGTACCTATGAAAATTAATTACTGTCCGTTGCTCTAAACTAAAATATCTACTTGTACCGCTTACTTTACAACATATTGAAAAGAAAACAGTGGTAAAACAAAGTGCTTTGGTATTTTTTGTTATTTGTTACTTTTTTGTATTTTCGTCGCGAAAATGAGTTCTAGCGAGAAAAACGACAGCGAAAATACAGCAATCGATACACATTCAACTACATCCTCAGAAGTTTAGCAGACTGCTATTAAAGTGCCTGGAAAAATAGTAACATTTTCTTTTGGCAATTGTTCTAACATGTCAAATATTAATTTTCATTTGTTACTTTTCCTATTATACATCTTACTCTCTTTAGCCTTTAATTATTTCCTCGCATTGTTTGAGAAAATCACTATATATAAGCTTCGACGGGAACGGTGATTGCTTGATTCGTATTAATACAAGGCCTCGTAAGTCTTATAACTCATGCTCATCCAGCAGTACCTTACTTTCCGGCCTCTGCAATAATGTACTTATTGCTGCTCCACGAACCCAGTGAACAATGACCTACGTCATTGCCAGTGAAGGTAAATTGTCCAAAAGGAATTTTTTCGACCGAACGTCGTAAATATATTACTTTAAAAGAACTATGGTTATGGTTTGGGTGTAATTTGGTCAACACAAGTGCGGCTGTTTTGCACAATGTAATCTTTACAGGGTTCGCGTGATTTGCCTCCATTTCTATTTAATATATAGTTAGATATAAATATTTTCGAGTATTGAAAAGGATATCAATGCAGTAAAGCAGCCCATCAAAGCACCAATCAGCAGGGAAAGGCTGAAGATCCCAATAAAGTCTCCAATAGCGCCTAAGAACGCTGTGATCTCAAATCCGCCATCGTTTGAGTATCTCTTCTCATAGTTTTGTATCGCACTGTAAATAAATAACTCATTATTTATCTAATCGAAATTGGCATTTATTTACATTACCGAAAGTCGAAATTGTGTTTGAAATGCCTAAGGTTGTGGAATAAAATTTATTACCTACCGACATTAGTTTGTTCTAAAGCAATTACAAAATTAATTTGCGTGTAGCTAACGCAATAGTGCGTGACCCTTTTCACGTTACTATGTCGCACGCTTGAAACAATAAAACATTTAACCATATTAAAACAAATGACGAACGATAATTACCCGCTTAGCACCAAAGCCACTGCGTCGTTTAGGACGCTCTCTCCGAATATCATGGCGTATAGGTTTACATCCACCTGAAATAATAGTGCTTAGGGTAAATATGTCTTAAGAAGTCCTTGATCTCACCTAATTAAAGCCACTTTACAGCGTAAATATAGGCTCGCTACAGTACTAATTAATTTGACAAAACTGAAACTGGAAAACATCGTGAGCAAATCTGCACCACGGAAAATGTTCATAAAAACTCTTTAAAGACATGATATCCCCAACCAGCAATGAACTTGAAGAGACTTGTATCCAGCAGCATATATGATTTGACATAGTCGTATTCGTAATTTACTGGCATAATTTGAATATCACCATAACGTCAGACGGGTTACTATGTTAAGGCAACATAATGGAATTTGTATTTTCAAGTATACGACCAAATTGTTTAAAAAAAATGGCATTAGGTTTTCGTTACTACGCGTTAATGTATGCTATTATTAACAAGTCACACAATATTACCATGCCGTTTAAGCAATTGGGGAGGCTTTTAACTTAAAATACGTAGACATATATACATATACATAGTGTAACTAATAGCTAACTACTCCGTAGGCTAAACTGCTCTTTAGAAGAGATCGGTGCCCATAAATGGCGCTTTGGTTTGCAAAAAGGTTGATATTCCCATAATCCTGAAGTGACCAAAGGGCTTCTGATCGGTGATTCGAAACGAAATAAAATGTCCTTGTCAATTACGATTATTTAGCACATTGTAGGGCGAGTTAATGCGAAATAATGATGTAACATACCTACCGAGTGACTTGCGAACTGAATGAGCTTGTGTTATATTTGGGGTATAAAAGTTTATTTATCAACATTATGTTTCAATTGACATGAAAATAAAACGTCGGTGTTCACTGAAGTCTGCACATTAACGGTACCTAATACGTTTATACATATAATACGTCCAATCGTCACAATAGTTTTTAAGAATCTTTTCTCTAGTGTTTGGAAATAATTATTAAATCCTTGATTGGCATATTTTTTGTTTTTCTATAACCAATGAGTATACAGTTGTGGTAACTGGGTCAGTATGGGGAAATCTGAAATTATAGGAGATATAGGGAACCTTTCTTAGAAACAACTAAGTATTTTTTGTGAAAACAATTTTGGTATCATAAAAATGAATAAAATTTGATTTTTTTTGGTGATGATCGACTCAGTTTCATGTAATTTTTCGGTATAACAGACAGAAATTGGTTAAATTTAATAAAAAAAATTCGTACAAAATTACAGGGTAATTTTATTGTATCGGAAGAAAAAATCGGGACAGCAGAAGTTGGTCATATTGAGTAAAATGTTATTAATGTCTTATGAAAAAACTTTTTATTAAAGTTAACCAACTTCCGCTGTCCCTTTTTTTTAATATCCTTTGATCGAAATGATCCTTTCGTGGAACTGTATCGATCAGCACTAAGAAATATAATAATCATTTTTATGCACAACTCGCGCATGACCGTAAAATTGACTATGCCAAAATAGTTTTCACAAAAAAATGCTAAATGCCTAAGACAGTTTCACTGTATCTCCTATACCTAGTTTCGGATTTCCAAACTGTCCCAGTTAAAAAAAACATAGTGTATGCAAGTAATTCGGTTGTGTTGTGAACAGCACGCAGTTTTATCTTTCTTTAAACAACATACGTGATGGTGTCATTATCAGAAGTTTAATTCAGGATAAATGTTATCAATCATCGTTAAAATAATTTCCACGTTAATACATTAATTATTATTTTGCATTTACCAAAGGCATGTTCGAGTTTTCTTTACATACCTTGCTTGTACCGAAGAAACATTACTCCCGTTCACACGGCATTGCACTGCACGTTTTTATGCAGTATAAATCGGAATCAAATAAACAGTGGCGTATACATTATAATAGAACTGTTCACAGGTCGTTTGTACTGCAAAAAACGTGCAGGGCTATGCCGTGTGAACGGATGTTTACAGTTCTGCGTTTCGTGCATGATATGTAGACAATTGTTACAGTAGGGCACAAACTATTACAACAATATTATTATGTTCTGTATTAATATTTATTTTACAAAAAAATACCATTAAATGTTCATCATTTTAAGAATGTTTGTACCATACACTTTAAATTGTACAATGCAGTCAATTTAGAGTCATACTCATTGGAGTATGACTCTAAATTGAATTATTGTATATACATATATTGATATGTATATACAATATAAATGTCGAGTAATTAAATTGATGTTATACCTTTAATTGCGAGAATATGGCGAGTACAGTCAGTGGATCCGTGGGAGAAATGAGAGCTCCAAAATAAAGGGTGTCCAGGAAGGTGAAACTTGCGGCCAGAGACGCCGGCATAAGTTGCACACAACCGTACATAAGAGAACCGATGACCAATGCCGATAAAGCTGTGCCCACCATTGCAAATGTCAAGATCGCACCGAGATTTCGAAAGAAGTATTTCTGAAATAACAAATTGTTAGGTTTAAAAACAGGGTTATCAGCATAGTATTATAAGACAAGTAGTGCAACTCAATACAAATGTGGCAGTGCGGCTAGTATGTGTGCAAACCGCCGCGTACCGTGTACGGTCGCATACATCCGCATAATCTCGCGATGCGTTCATGTTGTATAACGAGGGTCCTCGCACGCGCCATTGTTCGATAGGTGCTTAAAAAACATCAAATAATGTAAGTGTTTATTGTAGTGTTTATAGTGGCTTAAACAAAAGTGACTCAAATTCAGAATTGTTCAGCAAGTCATTTTTATTTCATAAGCATAATCCACAATCGAGATTTCAATCCGCGATGCTAGTATAACAATAACAATATGTAAGTACCAGTGGCGAGGCGTCCACCGGCTTGCCTAAAAATTTCCGCGTACCTATTACCAGTTGCACCGCTCATACTCCCCACAACTTAAAAAAACATTTATTCAAAATATCACTATTAAACGCGTAATAACTTGTCCCGGTGCTGGTTGAGATACCAACCAGCACGAGGTAAGTCGGCGGATCGGCGAGTTCTATTTCATTCATGAAATCTACGCGTTACCATCAAAATATACGCACACATTCTCAAAAATCCGCTTTATAACATATAAAGAAATGGCGGCCGATGAGCCGCAATAATTCGAGTTATTGTCGAATAGCCTACCCTTAAATTTAAACCTTATTCCAACACATTATAGTTTAATTTCTTTTAATGACAGAATCGTTGCCAGATGTAAAACTTTCTTAAAATATTGTAACAAAATTATTAATAATATAATTATTATATAATTGCAAATTAATACAAAATATGGTTAATTTCTATTTTGTAGATCTTAACGATAATATGAATCTATATTTAATTGGGTGTTTCTTTCTAATAGGAAGGACTACGTAACGAATGTATGTAGAAGATCATGGTAATTCGTAGGTAATTAAAATAGCAACACTTAGCATTCATGTGTTGGTTTACATACTTTCATATCGCGACGGGCAGCTTAAAATGTAAAATTACTTTAAAAGCTATGGTTATTTTATGTGTCAATGGTACCACTTTTTAAAATAATAAGCATTTTCTGGGCGACTTCGATCCGTCGTAGACACCATCTTTACTCTATAGCTAGGTACCGGTTACGTATATGCGTCGAGGAAAAAATACACATTTGGTGAAAGTTTCAACAATGTTACAACTCATCAAAATGTGCCATGAAATGTTACGTTATTTATATTATTAATATTATTAATTTAATTGAAGTGCTAAGTAACATTTTGTTGGGTGTTCTCAATGGCACTATATCATATTATGTTTATGCTCGAGTCCGTGCTTCACTCATATCGGGTTTGCTGAAAACCAGCGCTCCAGGCTGAAATCTATCAGCCTGTAGCTAATAGCTGAGCAAATCCCGTTTGCGTGTGCCGCGACACGCATTTATTATTTACATTTTTAATATTTTATTTTTTATTATTTTTATTTTTATTTTGTTTTAATCATTATAATTATGTTTTAACTTTTGTTGTAGGTACTGTATTTTAGTTTAAAGTTTATAATAATGTATTAATTTTAAGATCATGTGTGTCTCGGTGCTTACGCAATAAACTATTCTTATTCTTATTCTTATATTACGCGACCTCGTTTCTAATGCTGGAATATCGCAACAAAATATGAAGGTACAGTCAACAGCTCATTGAGTTATACACTTTTGTCTGAATATCGCCACCAGACCAACGCAACGGAGCAAGATCCGTCAATGTGTACCGTGATGTGATGCCGTCTGTACATACGGCGGGCTGCACGCTAAACTATTGACCGTATACTGAATCCACTTCAATAATACAATAAAGTGTAATTTCTAGTGGGGCCATGCGACTACAGCAAAGCTACAATAAAAGAGTGTGCATTGATGTGAATTCTATTTTCTATCTTTCACAATCACAATTTTAAGTGTTATTTATTGTTATAATTTTTCATTGCATTACTTTTAAGGACAAAGTATGATACCAAGAAAAATCGCAAGGTTTTGTTAACATGAAGTTGTTAACAAGTTGGAAGGTAGCTGATGTAATAATTTGATATAAACACAACCGCAAATATCATAAATGTTTTTGTAATTAAGTTACTGTATTTCCCACTGTGGTCCTCCATGACGCAATTAGTACCAGCGGTGATGCAGATCGATAAAAATTAAAAGTACGTGATGTGGCGACAAACTATGCAGATGCAGATGCATTGCACATTGTGTCTTTGACGTTTCCGAGGCACCGGTAATATGGCTGTTTTGTTACGCGAATCGGCAAAAATTGCTACTTCCATTTGAGGTGATGAAATCGTTTGAATCTTGGAGTGACTTGGAATTTAGGCTAAGAAGTTACTTAGACACAATATATGTCTAATTTATTCCTGCTTTCTTTAATTAATATATGCCAGACAACCACACTAACTGTCTGGTCTCAAACTAAGGAATTCCCTGCACTATGAGTATCAGAGCAATGGAATTCACTCTGGGGCACTTCCCAGACCAGAACCAATTTAGAAAAGTTCATTTCCCAAATTGGTCCTACAGTGGAATTGAAACGGGACGTCCGCGTTCGTCGCCCACAATGTAAACCGTTAGGCTAACGAAAACGTTAATTCTGGATTAGGAACTTTATGAAATATAGTAATTAAAAATAAATTGTTTTATGTTACTCGTGCTACAAGGAAAATAATTTTTCCTGTAAATTAATAATTATCTTACTATTGACAACTTATGTTCAATGTACATGGGACCTATAAAGAGCCTGAAAGTTCTTTTGTTTGAAAAAACAAACATACGCTATTTAGATCCGTTAAAATAGTATCATTGCCAATGTTTAACAATCGCGAAACGCTAAGAACTCGTTACGGTGTAGGTACCTTTTTTACAAATTATTGTTTAGCATTCTAAAATGCCTTCGTGGCCGAACGGTTACCATGCTGGACTGCTACACAGAGTTCCCGGGTTCGATTCCCGGGCCGGAGGAAGTATTTGTACGGCCTACATTTATTTATCCCGTGAGTTTGGGTGTAATTTGTGGTTGTCTATATGAGTGTCCATGGCACCCGCGATACAGGGTTCCCCTGGTGCGTGAAGGTGTACGCGTTATTTGTTATTGTTCGACTAATTTGGTCATGTCAACGGTGGATATTGGATATTTTATTCATTTCTCCATTAATGACAACTGTATGGTTAGAAAACGTTGAATCTCTGTACAGAGTACTTAAAAAACCGACCTCAAAAGTTCGTGGAAATACATCTATTTGCCTAGTTTTATTGAAATGGGTTACCGGATAGTGCGCGAAACCGGATTCATCCCCTAGTTTGCCACCCTTAGAGGTGGAATATTTTCTTGAAATTGAAATGGGACCACTTCCGAGGTACCCTCTTTCCAACAAAAAAGAATCATCAAAATCGGTTCACACGATGCATACATACAAAAAAATATACAGTCGATTTGAAAACTTCCTCCTTTTTTGAAGTCGGTTAAAAAGTTATAAACAAGACCAATATCAACCCAGTAGCAAAGACAGTCTGCCTTATTAAATGTTTACATTTGGAATCTGAACGTATACCACTTGGATATACACATATTTTTGGTTAGTTGGATCGTCAAGTTCATATTGGTTTTGACTGCACAAAAAGACCCTTTTTACTCGTGGTGTTATTTGCTTCCATTAATATCGATATTAATATAATAGATACGCTACCGCTACAGAACATCTTTAATAATAATAATGGCAACTCACTCTGGGGCACAAACCAGGAGACCCTTCGCAAAAGCAATTTAGAAATGTTCATTTCCCAAACTGGTCATTGTGAAAGTATTCATACTATGTACACATGCCAGCACATCAAGCTACACATTGGCGTATCTTGTTCCGTTGCAATGGAGGCGATGTTCGAACAAAAATGTGTAGTCTGATGTGCCGTTGTCTGTACCTAGGGAATGTATAGGCATATAAGCACGCGCCCACGCATGCGCTGACGTACGCACACATATGTATTAAGTTAACGGGAAACTTACCCTTTTTAAACAATATCCCGCATGGAAAATAATGGGAGGCAAAATAATGTTAAAAAATATTTCTGGATCAAATGTTGCTTTAAGATCTATTTCATTTTGTTCTAAATTAACTATTTCGCCTCTAAAGCTATATGCATATGTTTTATTTGGTACTGGAGCATCTGTAATAAAAAAAATCTGTATTGTATCAGACTTACTATTCTTAATTACTTATTTGTTTGTCTCAAAGTTATAAAGAGTTCAGTCAACCTTAGATAGACAATGGCTCTTTGAAATGAATATGAAATGTAAGATATTTTTGTAGAATAGTCTTATTTTGACAGACTTTGAAGGAGTTTAATTATTTATTTTGAAGTAGATATTTGATTCCGTATAATAGAACACAATACAAAATTATACACTAGTTTTTTCTTGGTTAGGACCTGTTTAAAAGAAAACATGACATATTTATATTAAATTCTGATTTATGGAATATTTTCAATTATTTTAGTTGTGTTGACACTCTCCTTGCCAGGAGACAAATATTTTCCAATTCTGAGACAAATATTTTCCACTTAGTTTTAAGGTTTGCTTGTCAATTCATACTTATTATATTGTTTTATACTAACCTCCAGAATTGATTTGAATTTTATCTGGGAAATGGAACCGTAATATATCAGGTGGCACGGACAGGTTGTACTTTGTGTCTGGTGCAGGGTGTGCATCAAGGTATGTAACTTGATTTGTTTTGCCTGCATAGCGAATTATTGCTCCTACTATCAGTCCTGTTAAAGATAAAGAAAGCTGAATTAATGTTTAAAAATTTAACAGTTTTCCCAGAACTACAGACTAAAAGAGGTAATAGTCATAGGCATATAATGCATAGCACAACAAGAATGCAAATAAAGTAGAATTCATAATATTCAATAAAAGGATTTTATATAGGTAACTGAAAAATAAACATATTGTAAATTCAATTGTAATTCATTTTGTGTTCAACATTGTACAAGTTGAAATGCCTAGAGGTAACTGTTATTATTTACGTCGTTGGGCCTTGGCCTAGAATACCTTAATCAGAAGAAAAAAAATAGCTTCAAGAAATACCATATATTTGTAATGGTGTGAAAGAAACCAAATGCTGAACCTTCGTTTATTTCATTAGCAATGCTGAATTTACATAAAATGTGCTTTGTTGGGGTATCGCTAAACTTGGTTTGTTGCAGTAAAAATCTAAGTTATGGGCCTGAACTATGAAGAGGTTTAATGTTATTATTATTTGCCTTTTCAGAGTATGTAATCAGTAATTTAATCAATGTTATCATCACTAAGTAAGCTTCGCAAGTAAAGTTCACATAATTTAAGTACTGTAAGATACTCTTAGCTTTGATTGGTTTTAACCGTTCCCTGGGTGGGGTAACTGTCTGCCCAGGAGCAACTTACGCATGCCTATGAAGGCAACAGTGGTATAGTAGACACAAAGAATCACATTTGCATTACAGCAGGAATATTAAGAGGTTTACTGTATGCTCAAGTTCTACTTTTTGAAAGATTTGTACTTGAGCGAAAAATATTTTTTAAGATCAGACTGCATATTCTTTGTAATTGTTAAATACAGTAGGTATAGTGTCAAAATTGTTCTTACTCCAACTTATCAATGAATTCTTACTTCAAGGTGTAACAGTTGTGTGACATTGACCAAAGTACATTTCATTTAACTTAAAGACCTCAAGGCTAAAATGTTAGGAAAATCAAGTACCTAAATAATATAAACATTTACCACAGTTTTCAATAGCAGGGATGCTAATTGGTTAAGGTAATGATACGCTCAACTGTGAAATCATAAGGCATATGTAAGATATATTATTACTTTGTTATTGTTGATTTGTAACAGAATAAGCAAGTGGGTACAGCTCTATATCTATCTACATTAGTTTTGATTATAATGACCCTCCCTATCGACCTATACATACGAGAAGAGTGAACCTGCACTGGGACCATCTAAGTCAGTTCCTAACCCCGGATCAACATGTTTGCATGGACTTCATCCGGTTCTCTGTAAGGCTAGTGCCTCATTGTGAGCCGCCCCGGGTGCACATACAACACCCTCCCTATTTTCCAGATAGGTACTGGAGCTGTAGGCACATAGGTACAGTCCTATATATTTTTACATAAGTTTTGTTTATAATGCCCCTCCCTATCAACCTCTTGGTTATGCGGGAAGGGAAGGGAAGGCATGTAGGTACAATACGAATTTATGTTCTTTAAATATAGCAATAACAGGATGTTAAAGGTAAATTCCGGTTTTCTGAATTAAAATAAAAAATTCAAGGCCCTGGTCATCACGTGGTCAAAAAACGCGCAATCATCTTAGTGTAAAAATGTTTCAAATAAAACAACAAAGACGATGAAATATGCAATTAAACTTACCATAAATCACAGCTAAGCCAGTTTCGTGAAGCCAGCTCACTCGTCGATGTTTGAAGACCCAGATTGTAAGAACAGTTAGGGTCAAAAGACAGGTATAAATTAAAAGGTTCAAGCTATCGATACGGTGTAGCAAGGTTGCTTTCGCGTCTAGTGCTATATCCGTGCCGGAACCCTGACATAACACTAGCAAACAAAGCAGGAAACCAATAGAACCATAGAATTTGTTCATGATTTTGTTTGCAATGGAACTACTACCACATCACACTTTATCTAAAACTGCATTTTGACAAAAACGCTCAGTTTAATCTATAGATTTATGGCATAGGTAATTTGTACTGATAAACGCGTAAATATTGGTAATAAATTAATTAACAGACGCAAAAACTGTCACAGTTTCGTCCATTCCAATCAATTCTCAAGAAAACTGAAAATTGAAAATAGCGAATGACAAGATGTAACCCTGACAAACAGAATGTAGCTTGTAATATATACCTATCTCTATTCTACTACTAAAAATATATCTTAGCAAGACAGAGATAGAACATTCTACGACAAGCGAACTTTATCGGTTAATACTAGCTGTTAGCTGTCAAATGTAATTTTTATTATTTTGCGAAGCATTGATTAAAATAGTATTCAGCCGGGTTAATTGTTGTAATAGAAAGAATAAAAGATAGAAAGAAGAAAGAAAAGAATGGAAATGGCATCAAGCAACATTTGTATCAAAACCGGTGTCGTCACACGCACACATTTGAAAACGTAGTCCTACACTAAGATAATTTTGATTGGTTATAAATTATCAAACGAAAATAGACAATAATAAAAAAACTTTTGGTAAAAAAAATTTAAACTTATTTGGATCTAATAAGGTTTTATTATTACTAGTCACATAAAAGCTAAGAAAAAAGAACAAAAGCAAAAAGTTGACAATCTACAGATAGGGATGTGACATTTAATTGATATCAACATTATGTTTCACAACTAGCGGAATATTGAACTAGGCATTGCTATGGATTTGCTATAATTAGGGTTAACCATGGTGTATATGGAAACGGCATTTAAAGCAATTTCTTCGAGAACTAGCGTAGCTGACTTTTATATGCACACATTTGTTACCAAATACGCATAAGGTTTTATTACTATACGCAAATATTAATTGATATAATCTACGCAGGCGCGTGCGTACCTATACGTAGCTACATGCTACAATCACAGTATTAACGATTTATTATACTGTCATCGTACTTTCATTACCCTACTAGATTTCAAGTCAATCCGATCACTGCCACTGCAAGGGTTGAAATATTAAAACACAGTCATCATAAAAATCTTTATTCTCCCTGAAATATGATATATTTGTTCAACAATTACCTCTTTCTGAACTGACTGAATATGACGATACCTATAGCGTCGACGAGCTTGTCAAGAAAATGAAAATACTTATTTCCGAAGGCGAAGAAGCGAATCATTCGTTTACTGAAAACTAGACGAAAAATAACTGATAATGCTTCAGAAATGTTTTCACATTTAGATGTGGTCTATAATTTGTGAATGCGACTCTGAGTTTCATGTCATATTTTACCTGATTAACCAAATGATTTATTTCTTAATGAATTTTTCGGTTGTTATTCATATGTACATAATTTAATGTGATGTCATGAAATGCCTATAGCAAATGGTGCTACATTTAGTAGGTACTCAGCTTTTATTGCCTGTTCCTTCAGCCCATTTCTCCTTTAAATAGGATTCGGCGGGAAACTAAAAAAAATCAATACAAGAACTGCAAATGTAAATCATGCCTGTGATAAAACTAAGAACTCAAGCGGACGAAGGTGACGTATAATTAGCAAGTAAGGATATATGAATCATGTAGATAAGGGAAAGAAAATCTCCACTCTCATAAAGTCTTTATTAGATACTCCACGAACTTTCGTGCATTGTAAAGTTATCGACACTGTACCTCTTCTATCTATATTTCCTTTTTTCCATTAATACATCGGTTTTACTTATATTCAAAATTAAAAAAAAAACTGTTGCGAGTTTTTTTTTTCAAAATTGTTAGCGTTTAAATACCTGTAAACAATTTATTGGTACACATTGGTATCATTGTAATAAAAAAAAGTCGAACTAAACTAAAACCGGGTTTCTAAATACAGAGTTTCTACATATCGATAATTTGATTACAACACGCGGACCCAGTACCGAGTGTAATATGACACTAGTGCAAGCAATTCATTGAGCATCATTTGAATTGTTCTTTTGACGGCGGCGATGGCTAGCAACCAATGTATATTGTTATTACCGAGTTGCAAGAAAATAGTTTTGTTTCGAAATTATAGTATTGTATTCACGGAAGTAAGAAATTTATGAGGTCTGTGATTGTATTGTTAGAAAATACAGAGTTATAGTACTTACCGATGGAAGGAAATCACTCCCGGATTATTTTTTAAACTTTGGCCTCTTACGCGACATGATATAATGGCACAATATTTCAATTTTTTCCACAAAATAATCATGTATTACATTTGAACGACGACTGACGCGCTATTGACACTCATATGCCCATCTGGTGATAAGCTAGTTAACGCGGTGTTATGTGGTCTGTGGCTTGTCTGTAATGAAATGTAGAAAAAGTGAAGTACGTATGTTATGGTGTAACCAGAGATTGGCGGTGGCTTAAAACCCAATCTCTTCTTCGGCTTTTATACAAGGTACCGGGTTTTAACCCATTTCTGCCCAAAATCGTAAGCAGAAACCATTACACGCGTCAAATAATGTAGATTTAGTATGATCCACACTTATTTGAAATTAAATGTAAAATATAACTTTCGGTCAATGGTAATCCTACACAATGTGCAGTCGCCCGGCGCCCGTCCAAAGCGCCCGGGTTGAAACATCTCTGGGTCGGGCTGATTTCTGCAACTCGACGTCTCGGTCGTGGCGCATATTTTACGTGGAATGGTAAGTGAAGTACTTAAGTACGTATAATAACAAGATATTTACATGGCAATAAATTAAAGAAATAATTTGCTAAATATGCTAAATACATGATATAATAAAAAAGGCATGTATTTAAATTATCCTTTTAAATTTGCAAAAGCAGCAGGCAAAAAAATTTAAACGATCATCTTTTTTAATGATTGATCATGTTTCTCTGAGACATAAAATAAATTAAATCAATCGATATTTGAATCTGTTCTCTACACCAATAATTTTTAATTTCTGTTAAAACTTTGATAATTTTATGTTAGGCCTCAAAACTAAAACAAATGAGCATTAAAAATAAAATGTATGTACTTCTTCTTAAAACTTGGTAAATGTTGATTATATTTGTATACTAATATTATAGTAATTATAATATAATTTGACCTGAAAACATGTTAGTTAACGCAAGCAAATTGGCTTCTACTTTTTCAGGTTAGTAAATGAAAAAGTACTAAATGGAGGGCGCAATCAAGCAACCAATAGCTTGATTTTGATTACCTCTACCGAACGGAAACTGCGTCTTTTCCGAGTTGAGGCGTATAATATTGCGGAAGGGCTACCCGATCGGATCGATTCCGATTTGAATTAAAATCGGGGCTCAAGTTTTATTATGAGATCAAATATCAAAAGATATACTGGTTATAAATGTCTTCAGTCGTTAAATGAAAAGACCAGTAAATTTAGTATGCTTAACATAATATTAGTGTTACAAAATGCAGTTCATTTATAATTTATCAGTAGATCAACTAATATAGTCGGAACAATTAATATATTATATCAAACATAAAAAAAAAAATCGTTTATTTAAATAAGTGCACGTTTACAATAGATCAATTGTATCTTTGAGGATCAAATAATATTATCCCATAAAAAAATACTTTTAAAGTAATTAATCAAGTAGGCACTTATTAAATTTCGTCTTGTTGGGGGTAACCTATCACTTTTTTTCATTAGTGCGATGACAGTTTTGGTATAAGTTTGCAACACAGAAATATCTTACAGCAGAAGTATCGTTTGTCCGAAAACCTATTGTTAGAATAATTATTATCTACTCATACGTATTCTTTGGGCATAAGTTTGTCTGGTCTAATCATGTTTGTTATACTGTTTGTTTTCCATATAATTTAGATTGCTGAAAATTCGTTTCGACAAAATTACTATTCTTAGATAAAATTGTACCGCCATGCAATTTTGCCATACAGCTCCATAATTATGGACTTTTGCTGGTGCACAGCAAATCCACTTACGTAATTTTCGTCAAACTATTATGCTATGTTTTTGCTATCATCTGAAATGTAATTTAAAAACAATGGTCTTGAGTATTCAATAAATAACTTATAACTGAATCGAGGAGAGTACCAGAGCCTGTTTTTTGTGTTTGCCTGGACGGTACGAGCCCCTCTTGTGGATTTAGGTTAGATTAGTATATGAAAAAGCCGCATGAGCCGAGCGAGCGATCCGAGCGTGCCGCGGCAGCGGCCGGCGAGTGCCAGAGCCGAATTTGTTTGCATTACCTAGACGGTACAACTCCCTCCCGTAGGTTTAGGTTAGGTTAGTATATGAAAAAGCCCCACGAGCCGAGCGAGCGTAACGAGCGTGCCGTGGCAGCCGTGGCCGGCGAGTGCCAGAGCCGAATTTGTTTTCATTACCTAGACGGTACGACTTCCTCCTGTACGTTTAGAAATAAAACTATATATAACTTTATATAGTATATAAAGCAGCGCGATCCGAACGAGCAAAGCGAGTGACTACAACTCGATCAAATTAAGTTGCATCTCGTTTACCATATTTTCTAAAGATGCGAGGTGTTTTAATTTGACGAGTTGTATTGTGCGACACGTTCTGATACTTTTAGTACCTGTAATAAGAAATAATATAACAAAAATGTATTGTGGATATAGTTTTTTTTTACAAAATAAAAATATTCAATTAGGTACATTGGTCAAACGGTTTGTTGGGGAAATAAAAATCGGAAAAAGAATAACTTGTCAATATGTCAAAACATTAAATGGTGTAATGAAAAAAACTGTAACGTGTTTTCGGACAAATGAAGCAAAATCTATTCAGTAAAAGTCTAAAGGTTTTCGGAGAAACAAAATTCTGTAAATCATGTTTCTAGCTTGTGATAGGTAACCATTTTTATGGTAGTTTATATTTATTTATTGTTATGGTAGTTTAAGCTAATTTAGTTTTATTCTATTTTTGTTTTACATTCTGTAATGTAAATGATGTCACGACACGAGTATAAACTCGTGACATTTAATTATTTTATTAATTTCCTACTGTAAGTAAATAAGTTAATTATAACTTCAATTAACTTATTTACTTGTATGTTTGTAATTTTTTAGTATAAAATGACATTCATGTA